CATTTGCTTTTTGTGGTCAGCTTCTGCTATGCTCGAATAAAATCGAAAATATTTTCCGACAAGGCAATAAATTCGATTACAACTGTTTGGAAATGTTACTGAAAGCAACTTGGAAAAACTTTCAAGCTGCAAAAATGATAACTAAAACTTTGTGCCAAGGGACATCAAATAAATAATAAATGTCCATATGAAAGTTACTTTTCGCTGCTAGCCAACAGATAAAACTTTATCTTTTATTTTTTCAAAAATTTACAGAAAGTGTTAAAATTGTAACAGTGAAAACTTTGCCGTACTAAACACAACTTTTGTTAAAAAAATGTCTTAAACAAAAAGAAAAATTCCTAAAAGGCAATATCTGGATTTTAGATATTTTATAATTGCTCTTTATGAGAAACTAGCTTGAAACATCTTCTTTGAAAGTTTTCAACATGAGAGAATCTAGAACGTCTAGAATTATTAAAGTTAAAAACATAAAACATTTAATGGATATTTTTTAAAATGCTGAAATTTCTTAAATGACTTTCTAAAATGATTTAATATTCAAATTTGATAAGGAATATGGAATATAGTTACAATAGATATATATAGTATATATATGCTGCAGTGCGAAACACCATATAATCTTGCATTTATTGCTATGATATTCTTGATTGATAATGCTATTGTTGTTGATTAAACAATTTCACCTCAAGTTATCAATTGCAGTCAGAGTTGAAATGCGTCTTGCGTCTTGATTATCTCATCTCAGCAAAAGGTCACAAGCTAAGCATTAGCTCATTTTTTGAGTCATAAACAAAATCGGAAATATAAAGTAGGTATTGCATTAAGCTGCGCGTGCCCGTGTTCTGAATGCATTTTGAGCACATAATATTTCTACTATATTTTCAGATATGATATCGTATGCACAAGTATTTAAGCTACTGTCACAATTTTCATCAAAATTTATGTTTTGTGGAATTCTAAGGCATCACCATACGAGTTGCGCTCATAAATATGTTTAATGTTATGTGAAATTCCTAAAGAAATTTTAAGGCTTCACTTGAGCTGATAATATCTTCAGCATGTTTCATAAGCTCGCCTGCAAAACTTATGAATCTTGTAGCAAATTCAATCCACACACACACAGAGTCAGAGTTGAGCTTAGGCGTTTTTCACACACTCGAAAAGGCAAAAGCAGCGCTGCGCACACTTCAAGATACATTCACACCCATTCACAGTTGTATTATGAGCAGTTGCTGTTGTTATTGCGATTGTTTTTCTATTCGAGATATCTTCTCGCACTACGTTGTCAATTGTGACACACTCACACACACTCTGTAATTATGTGCTTATTGTTGTTGTAATTGGCGGCTGCTTTGCGTTTGCTGTTCTTGTGGTTTTCAATATAAAAAGAAAAAATAACAAAATAACAATAAGCAACATTGTATAATTGCAGGTTAAGACAGGTAGGCAGCTCACCTGTTAAAATATTGTTGTCTTGTTATTTTTCTAATAGTATAATAATAATTATTATCAAAAAATTACTTTGCCCCAGTCACGCTGCAGTTAGAGTTCAAGTTTGTCCACAAATAAGGCAAGTATTAGAGAGATTTTTTAGTTTTTTCTATGTTATTCTTAAAATAATTTGAAAATTGAGCAAATGTGTTAAAGGTTTAAGAATTATTTTAGCTTTGAATGAGAAACAATTTAATTAAAAACAGATTTTGATTTTTGACTAAGATTTTAATTGAAGAATGACAAATTTTATCGAATATAAATTAGATAGATTTCATAAATGACTTTACATGGATTATAAATTTAGTTAAACTAAAGCATTTATTTTTTTCTACTAAAATCTAAGCTACTTTCGCAATGCAATAAATTAAAGATCAGTAAAGATCAGTTCAGAGCGAAATTTAATATAATTTGAATTCTCATTTCTACGCTTAGTTCAAACTAGTTGACAGCTAGTTAAATTTAACATCAACTTGCATAGTCATGTCAATTAGCAAGACCTTTCAGTTGAACTTCTCGCAAAACTATAAATTGTATAAAATTCAATTTCACTTCTTCATTTGCAACGAAGCTCAGATGGCGAAGTCCCAACCAGAAGTTGACAACAGTCCAAAGACAAAGTTAACAGTCGACAAGTGCTTGATATACTAATCAAAAGTCTGACAAAAGTACACATTTGACAGCTTTGAGGCCGTCAAATTTTTACTGTAACAAATTATTTAAGAATTTGTCAGAAATGTAAATTGGATGAGGCAAGGTCGAGCAACGTAAAAGTTCATGTGAGATAAAAAACAAAACAGAACAGAATATGCAGCTTGACAGCTCGTTAAGGTGCGTGTCAAATTTGACACACACATATATTAACATATATTATTTATAAACAGCATACCAGACTTTGGCGAGAAAACCAAGTGCATTCATCAAAAGCTATAAAAGTAAATAAATAAAAAATACTTTTATCTAATGAATTTTGATGCAATGCACATGGAAAAAGGTGCACGAAACTCGTTATCGCTAAGGCAAACAAATATACAGATGCCAGTTAGATATAGACTGCCAGAGCGAGAGCGAGAGACAGAAGAGTGAGGGAGAGCGCAATAGATCATATAAGATTTACGATTAATTTGCGGCTTGCGTTGTTATTGTGATTGCGCACAGAATTTATCGGCGTGCTTATAAGAATATATATATAAATATATATATATAAATTATATATATGTACATAAAAACCTTTTAACCACGTTTTTTGTTTCTTAATTCCCAACGTTTTGCACAGAGTTAAGCAAAAATAATCCGTATAATAGACACAGACAACGACGTCGACCCTGGCAATTAAATTAATTGAGCATTTGCTCTGCTTTTTTACACAATTTTATTATGTTTTTCTTTTTTGGTTTTTGCTCAACTAATCTCAAAAAAAAAAGGGGAAAAAAGTCAAAGTTCAGTTGTATTAATTTTCGCTATATCTTTTTGGGTTTGTCGCTGTCACTGTGTGTCTCCCTCTCTCTCTCACTCTCCCTCTGTCTGTTCTATTGTTCTACTCTTTTGTATTAATTTGTATAATGCACATACGCCCCTTCAGCCGGAACAAATGTGCAGAACGGGTAAACGGCACACATTTGCCTGGTTCACATGACAAAATACAAAATGCTGAGCTCAACTCATGTGAATCTCGTTCCTAATGCCAAAAAATTGCTGTGAAATTAAGCAAAACGCACACGCATCAGCCTCATAGCATACGCGCCCCTCCCGCGCCCATTGCGACGCCACTCTCACAACCAGCGCCTGAACCTAGCCTAATTTATGCTTAAATATTAGGCGCCTCTTCGACCCCTCCCAAGGCCGACAAATGATGCTTAATATACACGACACGGGTCCAATAAATTGTTCGACTTGGCGTCGCTTTGCCTTAGCTACTCGCCTTACTCTCTGTCTTTCTCTCTCTCTGTCTGCTGTCTATAGGAAATAGTTAAATTTGACTTTTGGGCCCAAGTTGTTGTGGAATTCCGGGGTTAGGGTTCTTGGTCACATCGAAGTCTATTTGCCAACCCAATGTGGCTAATTTGTTTATGTTTGCAAGCCACAAATTTCATGACATCACAGAAACTGAATAAATAATTGAGATCAGAGTCTTTGAGAAGTGTTCCCAGATGAGCAACAGACAGGTAATTTTTAGGTAAATATCTATAGATGTTTGGTAAATTGATATGTATATTTAATCAAATGTGTTATTTCATATATTCGAATTGAATTTCATAAGATCCAGTTCTACTTCAGAACTTAACCCCAACTCACTGCGTGAACAACTTGTGAATTACAACAACTGATTATATTTCTATAAAACAAGAAGGCTTATCGCAAAGTGCGCTTGACATTTGAATTCGAATTCATTCCATTTAGCATTTACTATTATGCAAACTTGATGGTAATTTAATTTAAATATTCTACAGCCTCTAGGTTAACTATTTCCAGTTGGAAACTACAACTTAATAGCCTGTTGCGCCACTTTATAACAAAAAAAATCAGACTCTCAACTGACCCTGAACTCAATATTAATGTACATTCGAGTCTGACCGGGGTAAGACTTTATCGCCAACAGGTGAGCGATGGCTATTAACAGTGAATTCGATAGCCTAATAAACAAAATGTGGAACACAAGAAATCAATCAATGGCCGCAACTGATAAGCAGACGCAGACAATGGAATGGAAGTGTTACTTGATTTTGATAAAAACAAAATTGGCATCCAGCTGATTGGCAGATGTTAACAATAAATATGCCATTAAAGGGGCTTGGAGTAGATTGCTAAGAATGATAAGAGGCTATGGAAATAGCTTTGTAAGAACAAGGGCTGGGGCACATGAGAGAAAAGATTCTGTTTGAATTTTTGGCAGTTGTTTAATTGATGAAGTTCTTGAAATGGAAATCCAATTGAAATTTTGTCACTACACAAAGTTTTTTTTAGTAACAAATTTCAAATGGATTTCCATTTCGAGAGTTTTAAAAATGGAATTAGCGATAAAATAAATAAAATAATAAATAAATAAAAAAATAAAGGAATTTGGAAATGAAAGGAATTAGAAGAAGAATTTTGCGAGCATTCAAATTATAGTAGAAAACATAAGCTAGAGTATATAAGGTGTTGATGGAGTTGGAGTCTCTGAAGAAGATATATAATTTATATGATTAAGAGCTCTACTTGAGGCAAACATTTAAACTAAAAAGTTTTTAAATAGGATATATATGAGAGACATAGACTTTAGAAGCCTAAGCTTGAGTCTGATTAAACTATATAAAATATATCCCTAGCCATTGACAAGGAAAGAACAAGCAAACGCCTATAGAAACACAGGTGTGTGCTGTTGTAGGTAAGCAAAACCAATAAAAATACAAAAATTTTAAGTGCCACCAAATCAATGCAAATAATATAATCTTTAGACACTTAACTTATCATCAATTAAATTCACTTTCAACAACATTTTCGCTCAGTGTAACTGGCTGACTTACCGCTTAACCAGCAACGGCTGCAAACGCTTTGCTGCTGTGCTGCCAGTGGGCGATGTGGGTGACTGCGATTTGGTGAGACGCGCAAACACATTGACGCCGGCGCTGCTGCTGCTACTGCTGCCGCTGCCGCTGCCGTTGCCGACGCCAACAGAGCCTTTATCCTGTGGCTGCCGCGTTGACGTCGGCGTTGTGGGCGTGCCATTTGAGGATCTAACACTAGTGCTGCGCTTCACAACGGGCGTCACAGAGGGCGATCGCCGCACAGTGGGACTGATGCGCGGACTGCCGCTGCTCGAAGGACTGCGCGCGACAGTTGGCGTTGCGCCCGGTCCGGCCATGGTGCGCGTGGTGGACACTTTGGATTTTACATCATTGTAATTAGTTTTGATTGTTGACTTATTGCTGGCGATTTTATGCATAACGGCATCCCATTTATTGGGCGTCTGAGATTTGCGCGCAACGGGCGCCTTAGCCTTAGCACTGCGCGGCGTTTGCGGCGATTTCAGTTTACGATTTGTGGCTGTCTTGCACGACGATTTCGGCGAGGAGAGCGACGAGCTGGAAGAGAGCGCCGAAGCTGTTTGTAAATTCTCAACGGTACAGAGCGACGTTAGCGATGCGTGCGGACGCGGCGAAGTTACGCGCTGTACTGACGATCGCAGTTGCGGCTCGCTGGCGCTGCCGCTGCCGCTGCCAGTGCTCGCATTGAAAGCTTCGTCGCAAAAGCTTTTGGCGCTGCCGCCGTCAACGCTGCAGTACGAAGTGCGATTCGAGAGCGTCGTCGCTGCCGACGACGACGAGAGCGGCCGTGGCTGCACGAGCTGCTGCTGCTGTTCGGTTTTCTCTCTCTGCGCTTGACCTTGAGCCTTGCGTAAGGTTTGGGTCGACTCGTCGGGCGACATATCCACATCCATTTCCATGTCCACCTCCAGCTCGGGCAGACGCATTTCCTCATCGCAGCGATTTTCGACATCCGTAAAAATGCCCGATGATTCCATGCACGAGTCCTCCAGCTGCGGCACCGATGCACTCGGCTGCATTGCCGGCCCATACAGCTGGCCGTCGATAACCTGGGCGCGCCGATCACCACGCTGCAGCACATCATCCGCATCGGATTCGGTGAAGAAATCCGAATCAGTCATGGGATCCTGACGACGCATTGGAGCACCTCCGCCGGCTGGCATGGGCATGGGCGGAAAGCTCGGCTGGCGGCTCACGCGGCCCAAATGCGGTCCATTGCTGGGCGAATGATCGCAGGCGCCGCGTGAAGCGGGACGCGACATTTCTCCATCGCCCTGATAGCCCGTATCCAGGCTGGTCACACTGGTGACGCTGGTTATGAAACTGTTGCTCAGCTTGGCACTCGCCTGGGCAGCGGGCGCAGCGGCAGAGGTGGCAACGATGACAGCAGCTGCTGCGGTTGTAGAGGATGGCGCAGGCGTCGCTATGGCAGCCACCAGCTGTGGCTCTATGGGATCAAGAGGCAGCTCCTCGGGAGAGGGTGTTTGCTCCAAGCGCAGCTGCTGTTGCAAGTGTTGCTGTTGCTGCTGTTGTTGCTGCAATCGCTGCTGGAAATGCTGCTGCTGATGCAGCAGCTGCAGCTCCAGCTGATGGTTAAGAATCGCGTTGCTGTTGTTGTGCTGTGAGGATGAGTCCAGGAACTCCTCCATTTGATCAGGCGTCAGGATGCCCAGGCTCTCATCCAAATCGAAACTGTGCTGCTTCTTGAGCAGCTGCTGCTGCAACTGTTGCAGCTGCTGCTGTGACGAGGATATGGAACCATCCACCAGTTCTATCGACGCATCTAAGGACGTATCCTGCAAGTCCAGACCAAAGCTGTAGCGTGAGCGCGGCGTACGCAGCTGAACGGCCGCCACGGTGCCATCCAAGGGATTGGGCAACAGTTCACCCTCCGGCGTGCGCGTGGGCAAAACCAAATCACTGCGCGCTGCCTTCAACAGTGGCGACAGCAAATGCACCGGGACCGGCGACTGCTGGAAGCGTCCGGATAGCGGCGTCGTCGTCGTCGTCGCCCACTGCGGCGTCAGGCAGACGAGCGATTGCTGTGGAATCGAGCGACGTCCGAGTTGTGGATTCATACATGGCGACGACTGCTCCAGAAACTCCCGCGTCAAATTGAGCAACTGAATGTGCCTGGCCGGCGACTGCAAGCCGCTAATGTCCAGCAGACGCTCCGTATTTATGGTGGAGTTCAGTGGCAGCTTCATGTTGCTCTTGTTCGGCGCCAGCGCCGTCAACGTAGCATCCAAATCAGAATTGTCCAGCTCCGTTTCAACGGGCAGCTCCGACTTGACGCCGCTCAACAGATCCAGTCCAGAGGGAATTGACATGTGCTCCAGCAGCGGCAACTGATCCATGCTCTTGGTCAAGTCCAGAGATAGATTATGAGTGAGTGTAGCATCCAGGTCGCTGGCTGGTTGATCGGTTCGGGTGCAATCTTCTCGATTATAGGTGCGATTGTCCAGCAACTGTGTAGCATCTCTAGTCTCGTCCTTGACAGGAATCACGGGTCGAGTGCGATCCGCTCGAGCACCGCTAAGATTACCCATTAGCTGTGTAGCATCTGCAGCCTCGTTGCTAGCGGATATAACGGGTCTGGTCCGATCCGCACGATGGGAACTGTGATTGCTCAAGAGCTGTGTGGCATCCGCCGCCGTCTCATTGCTGGCGGGGATCACGGAATGTGTACGATCTGGCTGAGCACAGCTGGCATTGCCGTCGACTGTCTCATTGCTGGAGAGGATTATGGTGCGTCTGCGTGAATTCAGCAGGTGTGTTGCATTTTTATCCAGCTCCAACTGTTCCTTCTCCAAGAGAACAGTTCTATTACAATTCTTCAAGGAGCCACTTTCACTCATGCCACCCATTGCATCCATATCCAAGGTGCGACCAAAGCCGACGTTGGTATGACGCGTTTGCTCCAAGTGCGTACGGCTGGGCGTAGCCTGCTGCAGCTGCTGCTCCGCCTCATCGCACACAAACGTCTCGGAGCGCATCAGCGGCATGGGCGTGCTGGTAGTCAGCAAGGGCTGTGGCTGCCTCTTCGCCTGCTGCTGCTGCTGCTTGGCACTTGGCAGCGGTGTTTGTGGCAACGAGCTGCTCATCAGATTGGAGCCGACTGAAGCTGTAGGGGCACTGTTGCCCATCATTTTGCCCTGGCCAAAGTATTTCTTTAGCACATTCGTGGTGCGTTTGCTAATCAGACTGACGGCATTGTTCAAGCGTTCGCCGGACGCGCTCTTCTTGATGCTGGCGCCTAGATCATGCAGCGGCACAGCCGTCGGATGATAGGAGCTAATGGGCCGTGCCTTCGCATTGGGATGAGCATTGGCCGGCAATGCGGGCGCACGAAAGATTTGTGTTGTCGATTTCAGTGCTGTGGGTGGGCGTATGTGTGAGGTGGGGGCGGCAGCGCCAGCGGCAGTGGCGGTGGTGTAGCTGCTGGTGCTACCACCAAAGCTGCCCGGCGGTGGTATGCGCGAGTGGCCATCCAAGCGAGGAATGCGCGTCGTAGCCGAATCCTGTAAACGTAATAAACAAATATTTCATGAATTAAATTGTTGTGGCTAAAATGAGTCAGAAAGGAAGGCCCTCAAAGCCCAACATATACAACCCTCTAACTGGAGCAGAGTGAACGACTTGAAGCTACCCTGCACACAGTCGACAAACTGTCAATCTACAATTTATCTTATTTATACAAATGAAAGATATTCAACCCTGTTTTCCTTAGTTATATGGCCATAAACCTCAACTATAAGTGCATCAGTCCAGCCTATTCGACTTGAAGATACCCGGCACATGTCATAATTGTCTTAATGAAGCACATATACACAGAAACACAAATCAGACCGCTAGTTCGACTAGGAGATACCCTGTACCAAGCTGTTAGAAGTGTTTATATTACAACTGTTGCAGCTAACAGATACCCAGTAGCCGGGTACAACAACAGCTATATACCCGCTTGTGCGCTCTTTTCATTGGCTACAGGGTATGCAAATACGGCAAATGCCTTAACAGATTACGACAGCTGTCGACTGACCTAAGACCCTACATCTAATCCCCTGTTCCCCGTTACCTTCTGCATCCGCGACTGGTAATGTGCGTAGTTATTTGGCGCCCTGGCGCCAATTGGTCTTTGGGCCCTTGCTCCATGCGCCCGCAGTGCACGTGCTTAGACTTTGTGCCTTTTTTTTTTTTTGGCAGGCGCCATCCTGCAATGTAGTTCACTGGGGCGTTTCCACTTGGCAGCAGTTCAACGCACTTTAAAACAGGGTGACTGACAGAGAGGTGGGAGCTGATGGCATGTGGAGGGGGAAGCATTTGATAGCGAACGACAGTGGCAGGGGTTGCCTGGCGCTGATGTCATCAGTCTAAGCAAATTTAGAGGGGTTCATATACATATATATACCCTATATTTAGTAGCTAGTGGGTATATTGACAGTCGAAACGTGCTCAATTCTTTGTAGAGCAGATATTTATGGTGAAAGCTTAAAAGTTGTAGATCTACAGCCAGGTATTGCAGCTGAACAGGGGTTGCCCTTATAATCTAAAAGGGTATATAAGACTTTATGCTTACTATGTAACAGAAGGAAGTTTTAATCTCAAAGATTAAAATATTATAAGACTTCAATTCTTGTTTAGTTCATCTAGAAGTTGCTCTACTTTTTAGTAATATATAACACTTTCTGCATACCCTTTACATTTACAGGATATCTGCATAGTCAAATGCTTTTCACTTTGTTTTACTCGCCTTTATTTAGGGGGTTGCTCACAGACTAATTGCTAATTGCAGTCTAATATAATTAAATGGGGCAGGTTTTTGGTTACACTGAATTCTCCTTTTACAACTTCTACTCTCTTTATACATGTATTATATGTGTGCCAAGTAATTATACAGTTAGAAAAGTAACTTGGGTAATTATGCACGTGTTTACGATAATAGATAAAAGAGAGGATGGTATGGTTATGGCGCCAGTAATCTAATATATTTTTCCTAAATTATATAATTACATTCCATATATAGCCCATAATATTCATAAGCAAAAGTTTAGCTAATCAATATATATATATTTAGTTCTCATCACATATTAAGTATTTGCTGAGTTCTTTATTCGCAAATGAACTCCAAGCACTCTCTCAAGATTTCACTTCTTCCACATTAACAAGACATTGGCCACGACTCTCAATGGACGCAAAAACTTTCGCTCTTATCGTTTGTGCGGGCCGCTGCAGCACACAAAAGTTTTTGCCACATTCATCGACACAATATGTTGCACAAACATCGAGCCGCTATATTAAATGCACCCGAATTCAGTTTACATAGCTGGCTTAATCGAAAATGCAATTTTCGCAGCGCAGACAAGTTAAATAAAGCACTGGGAATACCTAGCCTCAGGCCCCACCTTTAAATGGCATGTCCTTGAACTTTTCGTCGTCGTGGTTCTTTTTTTTTCGCGTGCCATAGAAAATGTGAAAAGTTTCAGTAGCGGCAAACACTGAACAGAAACCCACAACGAAAGCCAACTCAGCTCAATGATTGTTATCAGCTGCTGAAACTTTTTGCTGGGGCGTGGCCAGGGGCAAAATGTAAAACCCAAAGGAGCCGCTACATATTGCTCATTTTGCCATATGTTGCACATAATTATTGCAATATGACACGCAGCACGCGCTGCAGCCGCATTTCAACTACTGCTGCGTCGATAAGAACTCGCGGGAATTGCCATAATGAAGAATTTCGCGCAATATGGCGGCAAAGGTTTATTAATGAGGCAGCAATAAATATCAACTTATATCCACGGGGAACCGACAGACGATGGCCATAAATAACTGATTAATCTTTAACTCTTTTTTTTCTTACAGCTGTCTGGCTCTGATAAGTTTTGATATGATAATGAGATGGCATTTACATATTTGATTTCACATAAACCTTCTTCAGTGTGAGAATGTATGATAATGAATCTGTTAAGGTATATAGAGTGAATATTTATATTTATCTGACTATACTATATATTCCATGGCATTATTTCAGCAATGAATCTATACTCTTGATTAAAGTATAATTAAAGTTCATTTTATTGCATACTTTTCTGCATAGAAATTACCTTTAAGAAAGCACCTGAAAGTATAGCATATTATTTTTATATATATGTATATTTGTTTACGTTAAGGATTTGCCTTTCAATTTTCCTGCAATTTAAACGCATTTGCTAATTCCTTAGATATAAGAAAGTATTCAAATCAAGTTGACTTTAAGCTGCTTATGCAGGATTATTCAGTCGAAGTGTAAAACTTCAAGCTAAAGTCAAGTCAAAAGCTGTTCATAATGAGGCAATTGAATTGAATCTGAATTTGTATTAATTTTAACACATTCTATACTTTGAAAATAATTAAAAATATTTTTCAGGTTGAATTTATGGTCTTTTAAAAAGAACTCTATAGAAAACTTTTCCATTACAAAATATTTTATTTTTTCTAACACTTTCCTACTTCACCTAACATCGCTTCTTAAATTCCCTGAATTTCCTGCAAATCTATTAGTCTTCTAATCAAAAGAAAATGCCAATTACCAAGAAAAAACAAGCAATAGACAACAAAAAATTAGCTATCTGGACCAAAATATGTGCACCAACAATAGGCTAATACAAAAATATTTGTACCGCTGTCGAAAACCGGCAATTGGCGAGCAGACCATAAAAAAACGGAACAAAAAATGACAAAAAAAAAGGCTAAGGGAAACGCAGCACGCAACGAGAAAAATAGAAATACTAAAATATAGCCATAACGCGGGCAGAAAGAGGCAAACGGAAGACAACAAAAAAGTCAAAGTCAAGCGGAGAAAAGAGGAAGAAAATAGAAAAAAATACAGAGAGAGAGGGTGGCTTTAATAAAAAAAGTGTAGCAAATGACAATGTACACACAAGCGGGCGCACACTGTACTAAAAATTCAGTTATGTGGGTTAAGCGCCAACGCATGTCCTTAGCCTGACAAGGCAACGGAAGAGCGGGGCGAAAACGGAAGGCGACAAACGGAACTAAATAAAATTTATCGATTTACACACACACACACATACCCACACATATGAATATCGATATGTGGGGAGGTGAGGTCAGGGGCAGCTTAGCCTGGGTATTAATAGCATCCAAGCGGGGGTTGGTACAGTGCATAAAAACAAAATCCAAAGAGTTGCGATTTGTTTGGACTATTTAGACTGTGCCATGCATAATTTGCATGACCAATCGATAAACGATTGTCATCGAGCTTAAGCGACGACGAAATATGAGCGAAATCTGCAAAATTATGAAACGTTTCGTGTGAAGGAGCTTGGGAAGCGTGTTCAGCTGACATTTAATAAGCTAGAGAATTCGTTTTGCATATCGTATTGCACTATCATGACCTAATTAAATATTAAATTTCCCAATTGACATATTAATGTTGTATGATATTAATAATTAATTGAGCTAGTAAATTAACAGTATAAGTTTACCTATTTACGATTGTTATTAGATTACAAAAATGCTTTAATAAGAAAAATATGTAGAAATATATATATAAAATAAAATGTATATAAGAAAATATATATTATGGAACTTATCAAAAATTACTCTAATTAGTATTTACTGTTCCTTGATAAATAACTTACTGGAAGTATAGGATAAGTATAGCATTTAAGCTTCAATACATACTCTCTGACTCTTACATACCTTTTATCTTTTCTATGTCCTGCTCTCTTTTCTCTACTACTACTCTCCATCTTAGCTACTCTTCATCTCTCCTACTTGAACTACTCTCCGTCTGTCCTGCTCTTTTACCCTACTCCTACACTCTCATACTCTCCTCTTTCTTTACTCTTCTACTCCCCTTCCACTGCCCTCTTCACCAACTCTCCTACTGTCCTACTCATCCACTCTCCTAATCCTCCACTTTAGCAAGCCTTACATAAAATATTTAGCATATTTGGTTTTGCTGTATTGTTGCTTTCTATTTCTTAGTTCACTTTAATCTTCGTCTGCTTCAAGTTTGCCATTTTATTGGAATATCTATGCCCACATGATGGACAGTTCTTCTCAGTCCAGCTTAAAGCTGAAACAACTCAATCAAGTTAACTGTCTTGTCCATAGTAGCAACTTGGCTCGTATATTTTACAAGACTGCGTGGCTACAAACATTTTCACAAGCCATTAGCTCGTATCCATCAACGGGGCTAAGCGGCTTATCTCGGCCGACATCCGGAAGCGGGTCAACATTTTAAAATGCCACGGCAAATGAAGCGAAAAGCTCAAGTCAACCACTTCAGCTGCCCCAAACTGAAAATTCACTTAAATAAATAAAACTTCAAACACAAATTAAACTGCACAAATGTTGACTTAAAGAATTGTGTTTAAAAATCAAGAAGGAAAAAAGAAATTAGCAAGTAAATAAAATGCGCAAATAATTTCCATCAGCTGGCAATTTGCAGCTTCCACGACGGCAGAAATTATTCACAGCATACTTATTTTATGCGCAAGCAGCGTCTGGTGAAAAG